CAGGAATAAAGCAGCCTTTTGGGCAGGAGTAGCTGCAGTTTGCTTAGAAGTGACTTGCTTTTCTTGAGGCACCAGAAAGAGGTAATGCAGGATATAATGCTGCCTGCTGTCAGTTGGGATTTTCACCCTGTCCATTAGACCATGGTGCCTCCTTTGTCATTTACAAACTATGCCATTTGTTGCAGTAGCTGTACGTGAAGGACCAGGAGAGAAACGAAAGAATTGCAGGGCAGGCAAGAGAACATTCTAGTGATAATCCAGGCTTTGCCATAGCTCTCTAGCCCTTTCCTCACAACACTATCAAATGTCCTGGTGTGCAAGCACAGTGTTGCAGAGAAAGCAACTGCTCTGTATTATGATTTCTCCTGCCTCTGGGGTATGTGAAACTCTGCAGACCTTTATTTATTTCTCTGAATAACTTGTGCTATTCAGTAACCACATACTGTCCAAATTTTGGTTCTACAGTGGTTGCCTCTATTTAGTCACCTCCACTTGCCTTTGCTGGTGTGTGGCATTAGTTTGCTGACTTTCATTGAAGAATAGCTGGATGGAGTTTGTTTTACATACAGAAATTCTCCACAAAGTGGTTTAAATTTGGGGGTATAAAACACCAAAGCAGTATAGTGTGAGGGTTTGTTACCAACATTTGCAACAGTACTTACATTAAAATAACATGAAATAGTTCAAACCAGGTTGCTTTCTGTTTCAGAATCACTGTGTTGTTCGACAGCGAAAGAGCTTGCATAGCCCAGAGCTGCCAGGCACTGGGAGGAAATGCTGAGTGACTTTCAGAGGATGAATCCAACTCTCACAATCGTTACCATTAGTGTCAGATTGCAGGCTCTTGCATGAGTTTCCTCTCAACTGAAAATTTAATTTAAGAGACACAAATTAATCGATAAAAAACCATGTCAGATCCCAAATCAATACTGGGAATCTAGGAACAGACTGAAAATTGAGGTTGGCCTCACATGGCAAGCAAAATATTTGAAAGTTGTTTCAAGTTATTACTTACCTGCTTAGAGTTGTATTCTGAACTCTGTTCCCTTTGGAAGAGTTAGAGATATGACAAGGCCTGTATAGGGAATTTACTTCAAATGATGCTTGTCACATCTTCAGCTCAAACTGTGGGAATTGCCAGCATCAGAACTGGATCTTGGTGGGTAAGTGAAGATTGAGAGTTTTAGGTAAAACAGTCTTATTGGGTTTTTTAAGTCTGTGAATTGGGAAATGTCTTCTCCATCCTCTCCTTTCCTATTCCCTTCACTTCTTTATACTATCACACCAACAGATTTAATAGGTGCAAAATTATGCTTTCTTTCTGTTTTCCTGCTTTCTGGGAACTTGCTATCCTCTTCTTCTCTTTGCTTTATTACCAACGTGAGCCAATGACATGTTATTGACTTGCACATGGAATATTTTAAGGAGCTTTAGATAGTTGCTGAGAATTGTTATCTGTACATCTCAAAATGTACTGCAAAGGTGGGTTAACATTCCTAGCTGCATTTTACAGTTAGCACAGAGTAGCTACGAGGCTGGCCAGAGGCACAGATTTTTCTTCCCTGAAGTAGTTTTTTATGCCACTTTGGTCCTTATATAGTGCAAACTTCTTCCAGAAACCAGTGAAATGAACAAAATGTTTATCAGGCTTAAATGATCCTTTTCCCAAGGAGAAGAATTGTGTGCATGGTTAAGGTGTCATATGGGTTGGGCCTTGTTTAACATGCCCATTGAAAAGTGCTTGTGTAGGGGGATGATAAAATTAAGGAAGTGCGCCTTGAATATTCAGGGGAAAGCAATGAGGTCTCTCCAGTCAAGTTCAGTGTCAAAGGGAAGAACTCAAATCTTGACTCCTGTTTTTAATTTCTATTTGATTTATTAGTTTCTTTAGAATCATTGAATCAACAAGGTTGGAAAACACCTTTAAGACCATCCAGTCCAACCGTTGCCCAGCACTGCCAAGGCCACCACTAACCCATGTCACTGAGAGCCTCATCTACATGGTTTGGGAACACTCCCAGGAACAGTGATTCCACCATTTCCCTGGGAATATCTAACATAACGTATATTATGTGTATTATACATGAATATACATATTAATGTTTATTATAATATACAATCAGCACAGTTTCTCTGTAGGAGTGTTTCTAATAAGTTTGGAGACAACTGTGTGCTAAACCCTTTTGTCAGACAGCAATGAATCAAGGTCAAGCAGGCAGTGCTTTTGCCTCGCTGTCAGATTGCTTTCCCGCTCTGGCGTTGTGTCACAGAGCACTCTGTTTACTTGGAGAGAAAGGTTTTTATTTCTTAAGCCTGACTGCTTCTCTTGAGTAGAGGAAAATGTTTATGGAGGATTTCCCCTGAACACATGGGCCTGTGTCTGCCTGTTTTCTCAGCTGGAAAAATCATTTCACAAGACAAATAACTGAGCTGTAGGCTAACTGGGAGAGCGAGCAGATGTGCTTCCTGCAGTTGGAACACTTCTTTGTCTTTTCCCATTCTTCACTCTGACACCCGTATCCCGTAACAGAGTGAAGAACATACTCCTCTTGCCCTGTGCAGTAAAGGTCTCATATTGCTCCAAAACCATATGTTTTGCCTTCCTTTTTTGGACATTTGACAAAAGCTCTAAGTCTGTAATACTGCAGAGGCATCCAAATAAGTGCTGTTAGGCAATGGTTTGAAGCTCAGTGAAATTGCTGGTGCTGTTCATAAGGTAAAAATAGTTTTATGTACTCACTTTCCTCAGGTCCTGTATGAAAGTCTTCACTACAGACAACGTATTGTAACATGTAAGAAGGTCTTCACTGTAGGCAAAATATTGTAACATTTAAGACAGCTCTGTTGCATTTCAAAATGTTGTAATAGGGATTTTTTAGGTAATTGGTCATCCTGGTTCCCTTTGGAGGTATATTCTTCATGTTACCCAATATCACATGTTTTCCCCCAACACACGAAACACTTGAAAACAGAAAATAGTAATGTTCCTAACCATATTCAGTAAAGCATTACAGATAAAATCTGGATTTACGAATGCCAATAGATACTTGCATGTACAAACATACATTTTCCTCCTGCAGTAAGAGGCATGAATAATGTTGTAGACATTAGAGGTCAGGGTCTGAAAACTTGGCTTTGTCAATCTGCCTGAAGCCAGAGAAGGGCAGAACACCTGAAGTGGAAATCTGTGAGATCCTGGGAGCTGTTTAGATGGGAACAATACAATGCATTTCAGTAGTGAGATAGGACTATTTTGCTGTAAAATTGACTGTTTGTAAATAAAACTAATCAGAAAATTTTCAAAAAGGGTCTTATTATATTCCTCGGGATAATTTTCAAATTTGCAAGTAATTTGTTAACCGCGTGTTTGTGCAGTGTTTAATGATTTTGTTAACTTTTTATTTTGCTATCGGACTTAAAGGAGAAACTGTTGCTTGCTTTCAAGAGAGAGCGAGATGATCTCTGATCAGAATTTCTCCCATCATGAGTTTAATACAAAACACCACTGTGTGCATAGGCAGTTTCATAATTAACACAAATTGTATTAAGTTCCCTCTTTTTTGCTCCTCTTAAATGATCTCAGAAGATTCTCAATCTTGTTTATGCACCACCCTAACCTACAAGACTGAAGGACAACACCACATGGATCTGGAGCGCTCTCTCAGTGCTATGTCCACATGTATCTATTCAAAGAGAGCTGTTTGCCCCAGGCCTTTTTCTTGGTCTTAACACCATTCTCTGCATAGTTAATGGTTTTCATTTTTTATTCTGGGTGCACCATTATTTGACAGGATTTAGTGGAAATCAGACAGGGCCATTTTTGTTAATTATTCAATTTGTCCATAAATTTTCCTCAAGCAGTGATTGCTGTTTCTCACAGGTGCAATGGGAATGCATTAACCCCAAGTATAAAGCAAAGAAGAAGAATTACAAGAACTCAGGCATCGTCATCCTTAACCAGTGCAAGGTAACTCCATGTTTTGCTCTTTGACTGTTCCTTCACTATACTCTCAGCAATACGTTTTAATGGTGTTTGGAAGTGTACACTATAAAGTGGAACCTCCTGTAGAATAATAGCAATGGAAACTGATCCACTACAAAAAGGAAAGACAAGGACTTTAATTCCAAAAGTAAGCTGACTGTCCCCAACTCTCCTCTTACATTTTTCTTGCCCTATCTCTGCTGTTGTGCAATGGAGTAAGCAGTACTAAGCTCTTACACCTACATTTTTGTCTTTGTCTCAAACTATATTTGACACTTTCTTCGCTTCCCTTATTTTCACTTGGTCCCTTTCCTCCTTCTAATTTCTTTGTTTCAAGCAGTTCTGTAATGTTTTAGAAATACACAGCTAAGTTTAATGCCTTGCTTTCTTGTCTGCAGATCCACAAGATGCACTCTTTCTTAGATTATATCATGGGAGGCTGCCAAATACAGTTTACAGTAAGTGTCTTACTTCTCTAACTCCTTTAAATAAAGGGAATCCTGACTCATTACTTTCACAGAGAAATGATTCTTCCATGCCATTTCTGGGCGAATTATTGAGGTCTTCTTGCAAAATGTATTAAGCCTGGAAAATAAAACTATACTAATGCAGTAAGATTTTTTTTGCATATGCTGATTTATGTTTTGAGCAATGAGAGTCATGCTGCAAAAAGTGAAGACAACTTCATACAGGCGTGAGAAGCTAGGCTGGTATAGTCCCACCAGTTCCATCTGAGCTATACCAGTTCCCAAAAGCTGGAGGACTGAATTAGGCCCTTTGACAGTGCTGACTGGCCTTGAGCTTCTGAGCCTCAGTTTGTTAACAAGCATTTCAAATACCCTTGCTCAGACTGTGTCACAGGGAGAGGAATTCACCTCACCTCTCTTGAGGCACTTAAATGTAGGTGTCCTGCTTATCAGTCCGATGGGCCAGCCTTCCTTTCCAGAATGAGTCCTCCGTTAAAGCAAGTTGTTTCCATCTAACAGTGCAGTACAGAAAGTCACTGAGAGAGAGGTAGTCCAGCCAGAGACCTCTCTCTTTCAGTCATGGTGATGTTTCATACCTCAGCCATAGCTGCCAACAGTAAGATGGCACTACAAGGGGACACAGCTGTAATTTAGAGCAAATTCAGAAGCTATTAAGTTCAAGGAACAGGGGATAAAATGATTTGTGGAGCTCTCCATAAACAGAAATTCAATATTTTGTATTTCCAAATAATTGTAATATACCAGCATTTCCCATACACATATTTGGGCTCAGTTCTGGTCTGGTTTATCCCAGTTACAGGGGTAAAATCTAATGCTCCAAGGTAATACTCTTCTGGAGATCTTCTCTTGTCCTGTAGCACTTTGCCCTATTGCTGCTCCCAGGTATCACATATCAAACATCAGATGCTACTGAAATGTTCCATTTCACTTTTTCCAGACAAGCCTTCATTTTCAAAAAAGATTTGACAAAAAATAGGAAGGTTTTTTGTTGACCCAAGTTCCAGCAGCTGTAGGAAGTAGTGGATTGTCGTCTTCTGTACAGATCCACTTTTTGAGGTATAGAACATGCACTTTGCCAGTACAGCCCGCAAACTCACTGGATAACACTCAGAACTGAGGACCCTGGTTTGAGTGTTGCAAGAAATACCTGCTGTAGTGGACAAAGATCTTTGTGGTTGTCTTCTCTCAAGCAACGTATCCTGTGTAATTATCTCTCCACCTTACCCAGCTTCTTCATCTGGTATGCCCACATGCCTTCAATGCCCATTTCTCCTCCAAATCTGAAACTCACCAATCCCTGGAAAAACCTTTAATTTATCTTTCCTGACATTTCCTCCCTAAAAATATGACTGGAAGCACTCAATTATCTGATGTGATCTGAGGTCATCAGCAGAAAGGCAGTAATATCTTTAAAGTAATATCTAAAAGCCATTTCTTATCAGGGCAGGTGCTTAAGCAAATGCAAAGGCTGGTTAATATACATTTCCCACAACTCTAGCTCAAGCACAGGACCATTAGAAAACGTCTGGGGATATACATATTATTATGTTACAGTGGTGCTTTTCAAACTTCTTTATTACAGAGCTCACTGAAGGGTCATGGCAATTTGCTTGCCTTTTATTTACCTGTTGCGTGTTTCCTATCAGTAGGTTGTGAACCACAAGTTGAAAACAGCTGTGTTAAAATGGGTTAAATGGATAGTATTGCTTCTGCTATAATTTACTATTTTAACATTCCAATTTGCTGAAGTGAAACAAAACCACTGACAATAGGAAACTTGGGTAAACTCATCTGCAAGGACAGGCAGTGAGTACTTAAAGGAAATGAAAAATCCATCATATTGTGAACCACAGAGATCCCTCAGTTAACTGCTGCCCTCAGTGGTAAACCCACCAGCTACACTATTGTGTAAACTCAGCACTATCAGTTTTCAATCTACATGGATTCAGGGCAAGCTACTGTGGATGTCTCTGTCCCTATAGCTCTGTTCATGCATAACTTAGCGGTTCTACTTAAAGATTGTCACAAGCTGGCTCTCTGCATACTTTACTTCCTCCTGCCTCAGTTGCACCAGTCCCCAGTGATGACAGCATGGACCGGTTGTATGATGTGTTGCTGTTTCCAGAAATGTAGCAGAGATTTTTCCAGTGGGCAGTGAAGCAAAAGGTTGCAGCCTACAGGGGATATTCAATGCTCCCTTGCTTTCTGCACACATCATATAACCTCCCTTTCACATAGTTGTAATCTGATTAATTCAGACCACTGAATAGAGGAGGCCTGTTCTTTCCACCTTCCCAGATTTCTATTTCTTTAAACTGGAATGGATCTGGAATTGTTTGAAACATTTCTGCTGGTACGTGTATTGTTGTTGTTGTCTTCATACTATTGACATTGCTATTAAGTTCATGCTGTGTACGGGCAGTACGATACAACTGTGATTTGAAAGGGCACTTGCTGAGGGAGGGAAACTGGGATGCTGGGCATACATTTGATAACAAAGAGCTGTAGTATGATGTACCTGGTAATTTAAGACACTAATGAAAGCTTTGGTAACATCATGCTGTGTGTTCTTGGGATGCTTTGTACATCTAGTGTAGTCTGTAGTTAGAAAGAATGTCTCTGCAAAAGGAAAGTAAACTTTTCTTTCACTTTTAAACCATTTATTAGGAAGCTTTCATCTATAGAGATCAATAGTGCTGATTCCAGTACGCTATTTTTATGCACTGCTTATTGCAAAACCATGTATCTCTTATCAGACAGTGTTCCCTGCTGCAGAAGAAATGTTCAGAAGTTGGCAGTGCAAATGGGTCTGTAGTCAGAAGACATTTTCATCACTTTAGGAAATACAGCAGAAAGGATGTATAACATGCATAAAAGGAACTGTAATAGAAAGATATATTGGAGAGATTCTCTCTCAGGCAGGTCACGGTATTGGGCAGGCTTATTCATTGCTGACAGATCTAGCAGGAAGTCCAAGCTATGTAGGGTGTTTTCAATGCAATGAAAATCACCCCTTTACGAGACTGAGGGAAAAAAAAGAAGTACTGAGAGTGTAGTTATTGTTATGTTATGTTCTTATTTAGCTGTGGGAAGATGACTGGTACATTGGAACTAATACATTTAAAGATACACTGATAAAAATCAAATGTACACACTGTAAGAAAGATTCCTACTTTGCCGCCCACAAGATTAGCTTACTTGTAATATTAGCCTAACTCCTGTGATATGTTAACTTTGGGTTTATAAATCTTTATGTATTTGCATAAGACCTTGGTACTGCTGGTTAATGTAAAGGAGCAGAGCTCTGCCTTGTTATTTCGGAATTGTGGCAAGTAACAGCAGTCATCTTTCATAAAAGACCTCCCTTTGGGAGTCACACAGAGATTTGGATCAAAGTCCAGCACACTGCATCCAAGAACAAATATTCATAAAGGCTTCATCATAGGAAATCAGGATATTTTTTGCTTTTCACCAGATCTCGACTACAAGGACCATTTCCAAAAAGGAAGCTTGTTCTGGGGAGAGCTTTTTCTTTCCCAAACCCAAGCCACAGACGTTTCTCCAAGCTCATGGAAACTGCTTCTTATTCCTACACTGTGCTCTTTGTTTCAGTTAAAAAGCAGTTAGCCCTGGCTAACAGCCATGAAAGAAGAAATATACATCTTTTTAAGATAACATGCACACCTTGGCTAAGATTTGTTAAGAGGTGTCCCAAAACTAAGCTAATCCATACAAGCATCTGTGGATTTACCTTAGGTTTCACAAACCACAGCTGTTTCTTTCTTACGTACATGCATGCAGGTGGGAACACGAGAGGTTTCCCACTGATTTATTCATGTTCAATCAAGCTGTCATTTCAGGGGGAAAGATTGATGTGGAAAACAGGCTCACTGCTTCAGTGCATGAGCAGTGAGTAGAGAGGCAGAGCTGAAAGATTTATTTGCAAGCCAAATCAAGCTCATATCTCCTGACTGAAATGTGGTGACGTTCATAGTCCATCAAGGAGATGAAGGGATTTCCAAGCTAACTAGAGCCCTGTGAAAAATTCTTTTCTTCAGCTAAGAGTTTGAGGTGGAAAGTCAGGAACAGTTGGGTTGACACAGTATGCTTTTTCCCTTTTAGTTTTTAGCAAGAAAAAACAAGTTTCAGGAGGACTGTTTCTTTCCTTCTTTTAAGGGAATAGTGTTTCATTTTCATTTTATAGCTGCATAAAATAGTCTTCCCTGTGCCAAGCAGAGGCTCCAGCTGGGGAAGCTGCACATTTGCAGGGGCAAGCTGGGACTTCAAAGTTCATTTTGCAGCCTTCAGCAATGCCCAGCTGTACTAGAAAACTGAACTCTGTGCATTTGTCTATTGAATATCTAGGTATAATGGGGATTTTTGGAGGAAGAAGTCATTGGACAAAGTCGTAAGGAAGTTTATAATTGGTTTTGTTCCCTCCATGAAACCCTTTGGATTTCTTTGTGCTCCTTTTAGGGATTCCTGGAAAGCAGCATCACAAATTCAGAAGAGGGCTTTCTGGTCCATGACAGTCATATCTCAGGAAGATGCATGCCAGAGTATATCTTCAGTGAGAAGTATGAAGAGCATTTTAATAGGGAGAAATGAATTTTAAGAGGATTCATTAATATTTGCTTGCATGTTGAATGCCTCCCACAGTCTTCTCTAAACCTTTTCGACAAAATAGTCTGTGCAGGAGTCAAGCTTTAGTTTTACCCTGCAGCTCACCTTTAAGCTTGCTATCATCTATGAAATTAGGAGGGTTCATTATTTAATACTTAGATGTACAACCCAAAGGAAACAGGCAGTATCTGCTACTATTACTACAGCCACAACAAGGCTTAAAATAGCAAAGAAGTTCTGATTTATAGTTTTAGTAGGACTTCTAACTTTCTCAGGACATTTTTCCTGCAAAGCTTTTATGTCCTGAACATCTCCTGACCTGGAATAGTTTAATTAAGTATGAGAACCTAAAGATAGTTAATTTCATTCATTTTTGTTAGAACATAATTTACCACGTAAAATAATAATTCAGTTAATTTTTACCTAGTTATGCCATTTTATATTTCATAAGCTGTTCTTTACTTTTCAACATGTTTATCAATACTTTCCTGATCAAACTTTGATGAAGTACACCATAAAATTACCTTTAAGGCTGTCATAGACTGTTTCTGGTAAAGATACATGGTTGGTGTGAGTATACTTAGGCCCAGAAGAGCTCCACAACACATTGTCTTTTCTTCTTTTCCAGGTAGCTATAGATTTCACTGCATCAAATGGTGATCCTAGGAACAGCTGCTCACTGCACTACATCCACCCCTATCAACCCAATGAGTACTTGAAAGCACTGGTAGCTGTTGGGGAGATTTGCCAAGACTATGACAGGTAAATAACCCCGTCTGATAACAGAATTGTCTTTAGAAAGTGTTTTCATGGTGTGAAACCAATGACTGCCTGCTGCCAGTAGCTTTATTTTTAGTCATTTAAGAGAACTGACTGCATGTCAGAAAGATCAGTCTACCTTACACTTTTGAGAGTGACAGTGGGTTTAGATTAGCTTCAAGGTAATGAAAGGCCCAGTTCTTGGCTGTTTGGCTGATGTTTGTCAAGTTTCAGGTTTGTATTCACATGCCAAATTTGCATGTGAGTTGATTTTTCATGTGTATTAAACTTGAAGCCTGCTTTGCAGATGCTGATAGCATCCTTTCTGATACAACTGGGAGTCTGGTTCTGTCCCATCCCACACAAAAGTGCTCCTGAGATATTGTGTTTGAAGGTGAATCTGTAGTTGCCTAAATTGCTGGGTGTCGATGTCTGTTCTTAGTAGTAAAAGTGTGGTCTTTTTCAGTGTTCTCCTGGCCTGTTGACTATTACAGTCTCTTTTAAAATAAGTGTTAAAAGTTAGTGATAATGTGTGCACACAACATGCCTTTAAATAAGAAAATAAACGCAAGTAATTGGGCCAGATATGCTTTGATTACATTATGTACTTCTGTTGCTTCCAAAGATGCTGCTTGCTTCTGTCAAATTAATTGCCCATTATTAATCTAATTACCAAGTGCCTTTCTTTTCAATGTTCTTTCTTTGTTTGTGAGGCAGAGTATCTCAAGCAATTACTTTCTAATCTTTGCACATGCAATAGTCATCCAACCACCACTTTGCCATGTGTAAATAGCAGAGCTCACAAAACCAGTGGTACTTCCAGTCAGATCTGAATTATGCTTTCTGTATGAATTGTGGAGTGACCTAGTTTGCATGTTGCATGTCACATATACCAATTAGCCTGCTCAGAGGCACTTCCATTTGCATGGTAATGAAATGTCTTCTGAAAGAAGAATGAGGAAAATAATGCCCTGATCTAATTTCTGTAAGAATTTCATGGTCAAACTTAGTGAGTCTGAGAAAATTAATATTTCATTGTGAGTTGGTAACTTCTTGGTGATTATCCAGTAATTTAATAATTACTAGCAGTAATTCAGAGGATTAATTTACTTCAGAAGAGGGAATAAAAAGGGCTGGTTTGTGCATGTAGATTCTTTTATCACATGAGGTGTATTTTGTAAGAAGATGACACAGTCCCTACTGTACGGGATATGAAGCCCAAATCAGGATTCTTCTCTCAATATAGCATGTTCCAATCATCACAAAAAATAACAGCCAGTCATTTTTCCAATGAAATCATCAGCATCATTCAGTTCTATTGTGCTGAGAAAAGCCTGTTGATGCTCATCAGCGCCTGTTGATGCTCATCCATATGAGCTATGGACTAGGGCTGAACAGAAGCCAGAATTCCTTTTCTTGGGGGAAATGTCATCTTTCTGGCATGTGTTTGGCCTGTACATGCTCTTTAGTTGTGACACTGTAAATATATTCCTATGGGCAAGTGGTTCAACATGGTCAGTGCTTTCTGAGCAAAATGTTAAGTGAGGACCTTTTCTCTAGATTTGCACATTTTGAATCCAGCAAACTGGAAATGAAAGCTGTAATTTCTCTAAAGAAATGAGGAGGAGCAAACCTTCACAGGAAATAATTTACAGGTCCTGTATAGTTCTATTTAGTTAGAACCTTGAGACATATAAGCATATACAACCTATAAAGCAAATCTTCTGCATATGCAGTTTAAAAGAAAGAGTTTCAAATTCCGTAAGAACATGCGGTGCGGCACAAATCCGTAACTGCTCCAGTGAGCCCAGTTGTGCTTCAAATACTGGAGTAGGATTGCTGTTTCCAGGTTAAGATCAGCCAGAAAAGAAAAGAGAGGGACCTGCTTAACCTAAGGGCTGTTAAGAGGCTTAGAGCCAGAGTGTCATCATTTGCATAGGAGCATGACTTCAGTAAGATAAAAAGACCACAAAGATGGCATTGCTCTTACCGAAGTTTTATAGTTTGTGCCCATCAGTTATCTCAGATAGTCAGAACTGGCTGATTTCGATCCAAACCAAGGAAAATGGAGTGGTTTTCTTTGAGTCTCAGGATTAATGTGTTGCATCAAATGAAAGAATAGTTGGAATAAAGTAAAATCTGTGGTTTGCAGTGCTTTTTGCATTCCAGTAGTATGCATATAGTATTTTTGCTACACTTACAAAAATAAAGACTGCTCTGAATATTTGGGGGGGGGGGGTGGGAAGCCTGTAGCTATTACTTAAAATCCTGCTATAATTAGAAACATTCAAATGTATTTGTTATTTGGGAGGAATTGGATTGGCAAGTAATATAGAGAGTAACTACACTCAGAATCCAACATTTTCTTTTATATAGTCTAGTTAGTTCTGCCAGTCAGTCCAAATCTTATAATCTAGGTTTCTGTATGTATCAGCCTAACATAATGTATCTGTAAGTAATCAGTGCTCCAAATTAAGTGCTTCTCACATCCTCTGACACAGTGGAACAATCCCTGCTCATCCACAAGCCCATTTATCTGTACGGTTCAGAGATTCCTGAAACAGTTAAATGAATAGCTCCGTTCTGCATAGTGAAGTGTGAAAGAATATAACTCATTCTTTCATCAGCAATATCCAGAGAATGAGAAATAGAGGGTGATTATTATTCTGATTGCAGAAGGGCTGAAGTCCTGTAGGAATATGCCAATCTGATCATGGTATGGGAAAGAGAAGAGCTGTTCACCTGAGCAGAACTCTTAATGCTTTATCTATATGGTGGAATTGTTTCAGGCTATAGCACATTTGTCATAAGAGAGAAGATAAAGTTTGCATGTGATATAATCAATGGCTAAGCAACAGCAGCAATGGATCATAAAGGAAGGAGAAATGATCATTAGTTTATAGAACTAGGCTCTAAAATGATGAAAGATATCTAAAACATAAATGACTCGTGTATGTTTAAATATGACCTCATGAAGCATATTATATATATGTGTATATATAAAAACCATACATATTCATATGTATTTCCATTTAAACCTTTTCACAAGCTTTCTTTTTTATTAAGAATTGTATCACTTGATAGAATTTTACCTTGAAATTGGGCAAGTCTACTCCACCTTTTTGTATCTTTAAGAAACAGACGGAAATGGTGAAAAATCATTGGGTACTGAAGTGTTTAATGTGAAAAGGATCTGTTTCGGTATCATTCCTTATTTATTCTTTACCTCAGTAATTTCAGTATTGAGTTCTCTGGATCACAAGTCAAATCAGGTGTTTCTGATGACCAGCAAAGATCAGCCTAGTGAGGATCCTGAAAAATCAGTTAGAATCAAGTCATAGAATCAACTAGCTTGGTAAAAACCTTTAAGATCATCAAGTCCAATCACTACCAAAGGTATATATATCTGTATATCCACCTAGCTCTCTGTGCCAGAGGAGCCTGTGGCTAAACTGGGGAATAAGGAAACATATCCTCTCACCATGGTCTGGCCATTACCTGTCCTACCTCTTCTTTTTCCCCCTTCTCACATCCAGGCTTCCATCAAAAGGAAACAGAGGCATTTGGGCAGGGTTGTGGGAGCTCCGTGGGAGCTCCATGGGAGCACGAGTAACAGCAGGGAGACTGCATCTGCAGTGGGATGTGTCCCCAGCACATATACATGCACATTGACAAGACTCTTTCCTGTAGCTCATCTTTCCTTCTGCAGTGATTGCTGTCTCTGACAAAGGAAAAAGGGCTGGAATGGGACTGTAAATAGTTTGTTTATAAGCATAAATGGTGCTACATGCATGCAATGCTAAAGGCATACTTCCATACTGATCTTACTTTATTACAGGTTTTAATGATGATATTGTAAGTCTGGCAAGACTTGCAGATCTGCTCCTCAGTTTGAATCTGATTTCTGCAGTTAGTAGCTTTCCTTTCTCTTCTGCTTATTAAGGATCTCATTATATTACATTAAATATTTATCTCTGCATTAAAACCTCTGTTC